TTTATTTTGCTTCGGGTCTCTTAGTCATTTGGGTGAAGAAATTATTGAATGATGACATGTTTCCTACTAATTTGAGATATTTCTGTACAAGTTAAAGTTGCTTCTATGTTTAGAAATTTTACTTTGGTATTTGAATATGGAAGATACCAAAAGAAAATAGTTTTTATATGTGTTGCAAGATATTTTAAAGGGAACTTGTATGGAAGTCAACTTTCTTTTCATTTGAGATAATTTTATGCCTTACTTGAGAGATACTATGACTGAGTTAGTATTCTGTATGTGGATTTTTCACTGTATTAGAAGGTTACAGTGATGATATTGAATCTCTCATTCAGATAAGAAAAAATTCACTATTGATTGTGTGATTATCTTTTGGTGGGGGTATTGAGGTATTGAAATTGCCTGGCAATGAGGCTGATTAAGCAACCTCTTGGCAAGTATTCCACTAGGAATTAAGCCGACAACATTTATGGCGATAAATTGTGATTGCCAAGGAGCAAAAGTCATTGTAAGAAAATAAATCTTTCAATGGAAATCATAGATATATTCTCTTGAGACATAATGTGATAAAATAATTACTTAGAGATGAGAATTTTTTCATACATATAATGTGCAGTCAAAAAAAAAATTGGCCGATCTTTTGACTTATAGTGAAACATCATGGGAATGAGACTTTTGCCAAATTGATATATATCAGCAATGATTATAACCCAACCTATGTGATTTAAGATCCCATGAGGTAGGTTCATATGGGTAATCCAAGTCATTTGTTGATAAAATATGTACTATTAGATTATGTCTCTTCCTATGGTGTGTGTGTGTATATTGTGCAAGACTGCAAGGATTGTGAGGCTGAGTTTTTAAAATCTTAATCCAATAATCCATAGCATTTTGTAGGTGGTGTATTGCATTGCAGAATACACTTGATGGATGGACCTATATGAGTGTAGAGTGGAGCTGCTCCCACGAAATTTGTGGCAAAATCTCTAGAGCACTCATGAAATTAGGCTCACGCATAGCCTATTAGCGCAAAACCACGATAATAATAGAAAATGTGGGTGTGTAATATGATGAACAAGATCCCTAGCTTACAATTTTTGGCTCATAAAAGTTACCAACTTCATCAATTATTCTGTAAGTTAAATCTTATTTTATCTATATCTGGTTCATAGTCCATAATACACCAGATAAATTTTGTTATACCCGAAACCCAGCAAATTATAACCTCTCTCTTTATTATATTCCTTTTGAGATATGTGGGGCATTCTTGGAATTTATGGGTACCTCAAAAGGAAGTGTCCCTTGTTTTTACCTACTTTCTCTTCTTAAACTAGTCAAACTAACCGTTGGAAATTAATTAGCCGTTAACTAGCGATTGGAAACTAGCCGCTAACTTCCCATTGGAGCAACACCTATATAAACATGGTCTTTGAAGAGCTAACGATACACTTTCTAACACAACCTTCTGAATCATCTTCTTATTCCCATATATTGGGTTTCTTTCTTGAATTTTCTAATAGTTTTGTTCCCAGTTTAATAACTAGAAGAGCTTGTTGAATCCTTAGGGTCGCCTAATTTTATTCTTTGGCGAAATATTGTTAATGACACTATCCTTGATACGCCTCAAGCTTTGACAAATCCTACTCTCCATGATCAAATAATTTTCTAACAAAATGTAATATGCCTTTTTTCATCTTTGTTCATGTTGTACTTTTTATATTGCGGGCACTAATGAGTGGCAACTGAAAGTACAAGGGCGGGGAGGGGGGGGGGGGGATTGTAGCCAATTTAAATCTTGGTCGCCTAAGTGTGAGTTTAGTCGACTAGTTTTGCACAGTAAACAACTTCAGTGAGAATGAAATAAACTGACAGAAAAGTAAAGGAGACGCGGCAGTTTTTATACTAGTCTAGTATCGGTGTGGTACCTACGTCTAGTTCCCTTGGGTCACAAGGGTTCTCTTAGATCTTTGATAAATGATTACAAAAGTGATAATTTTAGTCCGTTCACCATCAATGATATTCAACAAAAATGATCTTTGTAATGTTGACACAACTCTCTTTTGTGTTCTAACTCTTCCTATCTTTTGTGACACTTGTAGACTCAAGGATACAGTGTTTGTACTAAGAACTAGAAAGGCTTAGAAAAAAATTTGCGTAGTTGCGTGGCTTTCTAATTTATTCTGCTTCTTCCTTTATAGCCTTTTTGAGTCTTTTGCTTTCTTGTTTTCTGGGATTGTATTGCAGCAATTCTAGGAGTCCTTTCCTTGCGAGACATATACATCTAAGAGGATGATCCAAGGGTTGCCTCGTGAATCTAGCTTAGAATGATAGCTAGATTCATCTTCATTCCTTACGAATTGCTTCCTTGGATCTTCTTTGATTTGAGACAGTCTTGGTTGATTTCTTTCTTCAGTCCAATTTTGGCGGATTGCTTCCTTCTTGACCTTCTGCAGAATCTTCATTCAAATCTTTATTGCTATCCGTGATTGATAGAATCTTGGTCAATCTTGATTGATTCCCTTCTTCTTGGGCTTGATTGATGTACTTTCCAATTCAGGTTATGTAGACGTTGAGTAGATCATCCTTCCTATTAGCAATGCTATTAATTACCAGAATAGGAATCTGCATACAAAAGTATATTATTAGTCAAAGATTCTTTAGGGTTATTGATCATTATTAAAATTCTAAATTTAACAATCTCCCCATTTTTGATGATGACAATAATCTTAAAAAGTGTTTGACTAATTTATGGATTCTTCCCTTTTCAAGTGTGCTCCCCTTGTCTGGTGTGCTCCCTCTGTCTTCAAGCTGGTTTTTTTGTTTGTTGTTCTTGAATACCTGTACACTTGAATACATGTATTCTTTCTCTTTCTTCTCCCCCTTTGACATCAATCAAAAAGGACAAGAGAAGCAATATGCAATAATAGTTCTAACTAGGCAGGCAAAAATTATTTACAACTAAGCAGTTATAGAGAGCATAGTCGACTGATATGCTCATCGAAGACACAATAAAAATACACAACCAAAAAGATAGTCTTAAACCACCACATAAAACAGAAAGAGTAAAAAGATTGTCTTAAGCATCTCAGTCATACAATTCCTTCCAAGGAAGTACTTCAGGGTGTTGATCACTTTAGTGTAGAAGAGGCATCAATGTCTTTGGTGACTTTGGTCAGCTTCTCAGTGACATCCTGCATGGCCTTGATTCCTTGCCTTCTTGTGGCTTGGAGAGTGATCCTTAGCTTAGCCACGTCTGCTCTAGTTTCCTTGGTTACTTCCCTGATCTTATCTACCTGCTCCTGCATAGAGGTTAGTAATTCCTTGATACCTGCAATGTTTTGATGCATCAGCAATAGCTGATCCGAGGAGGAGGATATGTTGGCTTCAGATTTGATCCCCTCACTGTTCTGAGCAAGGATAACTTCTGGTGCTTTGTCTTTCTTAAGCCAAGTTCCCTCAATCAAGGTATACCCCATCATGGCAAAGACAGTCTTGTCATAGGTGCTGGAGATAGTCTTAGGAGCATAGGGAGCCAGATCCACTTTCATGACTTTCAAGATGTGAGAGATTAGTAAACCATAGGGAAGACTGCTCGCAGAAGATGAAACATCCCTGATACTTTCAATCATGTACTGACGTATCCAAGCAAACGAATTGATAGTTTTACCATTCACTAAGCAATACAGAACAAATACATCTCTGAGAGATAGAGTACTCAGAGAGCCAGTACGAGGTAGCAGAGTTGTTGTAATAATATAGGCTAAAACACGATATTCAAACTTCAAGTTCTTTGGTCCTATATCAGGGGGGTTTTCAGGCGGTACACTCTTGACCTCTTCAAAAGATACTTCAAAATTATCTTGCCAGGAATATTGCACAAAGAAATTGTATCCAACAAACTTTGTAGCAAAGATTTTCTCAAACTGATAAGAATCAAGGATAATATGAGTTCCTAAGACCATGGATTCTAGATCGTCTTTATCATTCACAAACAGATTTGCATAAAAAATATGCACAGGTTCTTCATAGACAGCATCACCAACAGTAGCAAACATAGAGACAAGTTTCTGAGTTTCAAAATAGACAGAACATCACATTGAGAGATTTGCATAGACTTTAAACTTACAGTGCGGCCAAAAGCAATTGACTTCCCTTTGAAGGCAACAAACCTAGCCTTCTCTTCAGGGCCATAGAAATTTATCTTGTCTTCAGGACCAAACTCTACACTTTCAGCTTTCCCTTTTTCTGAGAGGGTTGTTTGGGGATGGACTCCATTGGTCATTTTCCTACCCTCTTTTGGGAGATGAGAATGTCTTCTTGAGAGCCACTAGAATCTTCATTTGTCAGTAATTGATCTGTGCTTTCAGAAGATTCGATATCAACAGGGCCATTTTTGGTTTTCTTAATCCGGTGGCTTCTTCTGGGAGTGGAAGACGAAAGAGAGGGTTTGGTTTTAGCCATGAGTAGAAGAGAACGGAGGGATAGGAGTCGGGTTCTCGCATTCTTTGAGAGAATGGGAGATATACTCGAGGAAAGGGGGTTAAAAAGGATTAAGAGAGGTCTCCTCGATTCCCAGAGAGACGTACGAAAGGCAACTGAAAAGTTGCCTTCTACAAAACCCGCCGTTAGTTCATAATAAATGCATGTGAAGACTAATCAAGTACTTACAAATTTTTTTTGAGTGAAAATAACGAGATATATGGAAATAAATCACAGTAATTATGGAAAACATTAAACAAGGTTATGAGGGAATTGTACAGATACCAATTTTGTTTCGGAGGAAACAAAATCTTTCTTCAAGTAAAGGCTTTGTAAAAATATCTGCTAACTAATTTTCAGTATTTACAAATTCTAACACAATATCTCTTTTAGCAACATGATCACATATAAAATGATGCTTAATCTCAATATGCTTTGCCCTAGAGTGATGCACAGAGTTTTTTGATAAACAAATAGCACTGGTATTGTCACACATAATAGGAATAGAATTAAGGCATAAATCATAATCTAACAGTTGATGCATGATCCATAGTACTTGTGTGCAGCAGTTGCCTACTGCCAAATATTCTACCTCTGTGGTAGATAGAGCCACACAACTTTTTATTTTTTGCTGTGCCAGGATATAAGGGATTTTCCAAGTAATTGGCACGTTCAACTTGTGCTTTTTCTGTCAAGTTTATCTCTACAAAATCTGCATCTGAAAAGACTTTGAGATAAAAAAATTCTAGACTTTCGTACCATAAACCATAGTCGACTGTCCCTATCAAATATCTGATGGTACGTTTAACAGCGGTCGAGTGAGATTCCTTAGGAGCCGACTGATACTTAGCACATTTGCAAATTCTTAATATAATATCTTGTCGACTAGCTGTAGGATAGAGTAATGAGCCAACCATACCTCGATACATTGTTTCATCAACATTCTTACCATTTATCTCTTCATCCAAAGTGGTTGATGGACTCACAGGTGTTCCTATGGACTTTGCATTAGACATACTAAATTTTTTGATGAGTTCTTTCGTATATTTTGTTTGACTAATAAAGGTCCCTTTCTGTACTTACTTGATCTGAAGTCCAAGGAAGAATGTTAGTTCTCCCATCATACTCATTTCAAGTTCTCCTTTCAGAATGTTTGAAAAGTCCTTTCACAAAACATGGTTAGTACTGCCAAAAAAATATCATCTACATAAATTTGTACAATTAAATTACCCAGAGAAGATCGTTTGATAAAAGAGTGGTATCAATATACCTATGTCGAACCCATGTTCAACCAAAAATGAACTTAGCCTTTCATACCAAGCTCTGGGAGCTTGTTTTAGGTCGTACAATGCTTTGGACAATTTGTAGACATGATGTGGAAAGGATTCATTTACAAATCCCGGAGGTTGCTTAACAAAGACTTCGTCAGAGATGAATCCATTCAAGAAGGCACCTTTTCACATCCATCTGAAACAGTTTGAAACACTTATGAGCATCATAAGCTAATAAAATGCGAATAGATTCTAACTTGGCAACAATGGCGAAAGTTTCCACATAATCAATTCCCTCTTGTTGTGAGTAACCTTGTGCAACTAGTCTGGATTTGTTTCGCACAACTTGTCCAGACTTATTCAACTTATTTCTGAATACTCGTTTTGTTCCAAGAATGGATGCATTTGGTGGCTTAGGAATGAGTTCCCATACCTTGTTTTTCTCAAATTGATCAAGCTTTTCCTTCATTGTAGTTTTCCAGCTTTTGTCTCCAAGTGCTTCGTCTACCTTTTTTGGTTCATATTGGGATATGAGAGCAATATTTGATGTCTGCTTTAAAGATCTTCTAGTTTTCATTCCTTTCTGAGGGTCTCTAATGATATACTTATGAGGATATCTAGGTTCACTTTTCCATTCATTTGGGACAACAAATTCTGGTTCTTTTTCAGTAGAGTTTGTTAGATCGATTGTAGTGGACTCATGATGTTCTGTAAGATTCATAGTTGACTGATATTGTTGATTAGTCATTTCTTCAGAAGCAATTTCACCTGTATTGATAGACTTTGGCACTATAGAAATTTCCTCATCTTCAGGAATGTTGACACCCAATTTTTTCCTATATATTTTCAATATGCAAAATACTTTCAAAATAGCGTATATATACATATATAAGCATGTCCAAGCGTTTTATTATTTTTCCATAATTTTTAAGGTTTTAAATTGATCTATTTCCCTTATATTTCATCCACAAAATCCCAATAATTATGTCCAAAATTATTATTTGGGTAATTCATCTATAGGATTTCCATATTTATGCCAAAATATGGCTAAAATAATTTTTTTACATATTTTTACAAATTCATTTAGTATTTTTAAAGCTAAATTGCACACAATTGCAATATCAACAATTTTTAAGGTTTAATTGTGTCTTATATTCATAAAATTGAGTTTGGTATTTTTAAATTGTTAACTATGTGTTATAAAGCATTTTAGTATTTTCAATTTATTCTCAGAAGCCATTTACTATTTTGTATAAATTAAAAGGGGAAAAAGTGGCTATTTAAATTTTAGCCTAAATTGGCTTTCAATTTAACCCCAAATCAGACCCAATTCCCCAGCCCATTTCTAATTTAACCCGACCACTAAACCCTTTAAAACCAGCCCGAACCCGGATTATCCACCTACCCTTTTAATCTAGGCCGTTAATCATTCAGATCAACGGCCACCATCGCCCCTTACCTTAATTAGTCCCAAACGACCCCAAAACCCTACCATTTGTTACACTCCGCCGCCTTAGAATCCCCTTCCTCTCAAACTCTCTCTGCAACACCGCCTAAACCCTAGCCGCCGCCACCCAAATGTACCCTGATTCCCTTCAATCCCCACCTAATCCATGGACTCCCATGGTGATTGGAGGCGTGTACTCGTCTCCTATGTCTACTAGTTACCTATTTTTGTGGTTCCATGGACAGATCTCGAAGGGATCTGGTCCAATCCCTGCTCAACATCGATCTCTGGTCTTTTTTCGGCCATCCATGGCTGTTCAAGTCAGATCCTTGACTTTTCCGGCTAGATCAGTAACTTTTCAAAGTCTTTCTCGCTTTCTCTGGGTTCTTTGAAACCCTAGCTTTAAGAGCTTTTTGATTTTCTTTCAGATCTGTCTTAGATCTGTGCACGTTATGAACTTCTTGATGTTTTCCAAAAGGTTTTTCGATTTTCATTCACAGTGACTCTTCATTTTCAAATTAGGGTTTCTTAAAACTCTTCTTAAAGACCACTTCTCCGATTTTCAGTGTTGTTTTACTATGTTTAAACGATGTGCTTATGTTTTTCTTCTATTTGGTTCATCTTGTTGAAACCCTAGGTACTTTTGGGTTTTAACCGAGTTCTGAAGTTGTCTTTTGTTTGTTTGTATGAATGTCTGTTTTGATTGAGTCCTTTGTGTTTGAATCATTTTCTTGCTCGACTTACCTGGTTCTGAGTTCTTACCATTTTTAACTCGACTATGGCATAAACCCTAATTTCTTAAATGGGTTTTCCTCACATATTACTATGAGTTCTTTATTTGTTTCTGACTTTCTTTACCTGTTAAGACTGATTTCTGCACTTTGGCTCTACGTATGATCCATGACTACTTGACCTTGTTGCCTACTGTGCTTCGAGTAGGTTTCTTTACTACTGAATCCTAACTTACTACCGCTACTGTTGTATGTTCAATTTGCTCCTCTTTGATAATATGTTTGACCCTGCATGTCTAGTATGCCTGTCCATCCCTTGCTATTTATATGTTGAAAAGCAGAGACATGATTCTTTCTTGATTGGTCTTGATTTCCTCAATGTTACGACTGATTGCAAAGGGTTCCCTTATAAACCCTAATTTTACTCGCTTTTGTCTAAATTGATCGATTCCCTTCCATTCATTATTGTGATATTTTTACCTTGAATCCTTTCCCCAAAATTAAGTATATTTTGTACTTAGACTCAAATATTTACCTTCATACTTTTACTGCCCCTTATATGGCAAGAATCAATTTGTCTTAAACTGATTTCTTTCCTTAATTAGCCCTGTTAATATCCGTTTGAGTAATGTAATTCCCTTGATTAAAAGGAAGTACTTGTGTTAATTGATTCTGATTGTGGTTATTTCCATGTCTGAGTTGAAACTTTACTTGTTACCTTATTCTTCACTCGTTTTCAAAACTATAAATACCATACCCTCTCTTCTTTCAAACACACGACGAACATTTGAGTTCAGAACACACACTTACACACTCAAAACTCTTTCCTTCTCTATTATTACTTATGCTACTGCTTTATCTAGCCGGCTGAAAGCCAAAGTTAGACTATGGAATCCTGCTTATTGTACCTTTCTGCACCTTGCTTTCTCTACTGGTATGTCCTAGTTAATTTTTTAAACCTCAACAACAATATGCTTCTTTAAATGTTTCAGTTTCCCTCGTTCTTGTTTACTTCTGCTTGTGGTTCTGCAGTCAAGTTACATTACTAGCATGCTGTAATATCCCCTTTCCCTCTAGATTAATTCACTCCCTTATGTTTGTCACTTACTATGAACTTGCTATCCTAAGTCCCTATTTCCTCAATGTGATTATGCTCTTTCTGACTAGCCTGTGATCATGCCAGTATCAGCCATTGTTGTGCATGTCCAACCAGTCCTAAGACCCTTAATGGGGTTATGTGTTCACAGTCAGATGTATTTGAGTCCCAAACCCCTTGACCTCTTTGTATGACTGTGATTCTGTGTGTGATCCCATCTTGGGAATTTGAGTTTCATTTACAACTGTTTCAATCACCTCTGTCACTAATTGCTTTCAAAATGGACGGTTAGTACATCTTCTTTAAATAAATCTCTTTCAACATGTGTTCTGCACTTTCACTATATTCTTAGAATCTAGGTTCTACCCCCTCTTGTGTGAGCCTTGCCTTGGGACCCTTGAGCTCCCTCTAAACTTGGACACATAAGAGTTGGCCCTTCCACACTGCACTCATTCTGTTTGGTTATACAAATCTGGGTGTGAGCACTGCCCGGGACCCTTTGAGGTCCTTAGGGAACTCTGACACACCCAGATATGAGCAAGGCTTTGGAATAACGTTGGCATTGAAGTGATTAATTACATAACTTAGAGAGAAGTCAGGATCAGGCTTCGTTTAATTGTAATTTCTTATTCTGCACTTTTTTTGTAATTCAATCATTTGGTCTGTAATAATTTGTAAACATTATGGGGTTGGCTAGTGAAAAGGGATGGGGAATATGCATGTTTTAGCTACTAAAAGGGTAGAAAGCATGTTACTAGGTTTACATTCCTACTTGTGCAATAGAATCCATGCTTAGGACTCATTTCATGCATTAGTGAGTTTTAAGCGTCAACACCACACAAGGGGGGGGGGGGGGTTGATCTGTGTGGTACCCAATTTTCGCTCTAGAAGAACCTGGTTCTTCTAGATGTACTAACTACTGTTGTTTGCCGAATAATAAATACAGAAAATAAAGAACACAGAGATTTTTACGTGGAAAACACCCGGCTCAAAAGGTGAAAAAACCACGACCTACTACTCAGTAGGATTTTCCCAAACTTCCACTAAAATCACTGAGCCAAAATAGCATTTACAAAACTCTTGTAAACCTAAGGATTAAACTCTAATCCCATTGTGGCACACAGCCTCAACTGTTGTGACAACTTCAAGTTAACTCTAACTTGAATACTCAAAGTACCTAATACAATTGCTTCTACGAAAGCTGAAAGGTAGAAGTTTAAATCACCTACTACAATTGAACTAGAATAAAAGAAAGACACAATGGAATTGGTTCTTCTATCTTGTCCAAGTAGCTTCAGGAATGCACACTTAAATCTCACATAAATTGCTTGCAAAATTGCCTCGCTCTTTTGCTCTCAATTTAGTTTAACTTCCGCGCAATGCCTGTAAAAGAGACCAATCACTGTTATTTAATGAGTTAGTAATTGGAGTTTGATTAAGACTCAATTGCTGATCTTCCATCGAAGTTGAG